AAACTTCCCCGCCCCCCCCCCCCCCGCATCCCCCTTCTGTTCTGAAATGTGATTTGTCCTTTTCATATGTGTTCATTTTTTTAACTGTATCCTTTGGTACATATGGTTGTGACTATTTTCTTCCACTATTTGATCTGAGGAAGTGGGTCTGGCCCACGAAAGCTCATCATCTAATAAACCATCTTGTTAGTTTTTAAAGTGCTACATAGTCCTGTACTGAGAACAGCCTCTCTCCAGCCTCTTTGAAACCTCCCTTCAGGAAGTTGAAGGCTGCTCTCAAATGCCCCCTCACTCTTCTCTCCTGCAGACTAAACAGACCCAACTCCCTCAGCCTCTCCTCATAGGTCATATGCTCCAGCCCCCTAATCATTTTGATTGCCCTCTGCTGGACCCTCTCCAATGCGTCCGCATCCTTTTTGTAGTGGGGGGGCCCAGAACTGGACACAATACTCCAGATGTGGCCTCACCAGAGCCGAATAAAGGGGAATAATGACATCTCTGGATCTGCTGGCAATGCTCCTCCTAATGCACCCTAATATGCCATTAGCCTTCTTCGCTACAAGGGCCCACTGTTGACTCATATCCAGTCACAGCCTTCCAAAGTAAATCAAAAGAACAGAGGGGTTTTTCCTGGCATTAGTAATCTTCTAAGAGGAAGAAGCCTTTTTCCAAAAGGGCTCTTTCAGAAAAAGGCGTGTGTGGACAGGGAAGAGGGAGTTCTTTTGAATGAGGAAAAAGCACAGGTGACCTGGTGGCCACTTTACCCCTAATAATCACAGCTGAAATGTGAGAGCACGTCCATTCAGCATGGACGCAATCTTTTGAAAAAGCAAATCGCTTTTTCGATGCGCTTTTGTGTGTGGTGCTCTTTCAGAAGAAGTTTTTTTGGAAGATCTCTTCTTGAAAAAGCCTGCAGACTAGACATAGCCTGGAAAGGTAAAACTGAATTAAGGACTCAGCTGTGACCTTTATCCTTCACACTGCCCTGATTTGAGTGCTTGTCTCTGTAGCAGATGTCTGCTTCCAGAGGTGACAGACACTCCCAGCAGATTGTATAAAAGAGGAATAAAGTGAAAATGTGTCCAGAAAAATCAACAGGAGAGTTTTAATCTGGGAAAATAGAAGGGCAGTTGTTTGTCTAGAACTCTGAGAACATAGCAACTGAGTTAATGAACCTGTCCTGACATTCCGTTCCTCCTGCCTCTCTGAACGGGAGGCAGGGGGCATGCAGAACACTTTAAATCATGCCAACACAGTGTCAGCAAGGAAGCTGCAGGCCTCCTCTCCTGGAGCTTGCTGCATCTCGCCGCTTACAGACAGATCAATTCTGACATACCTTCCTTGCCAGCAGGCGAGCCCACCGGGCCTGCAGAGCCAGCACCAAACCCATTTTGACAGCACACCTGGGGCTTGGTACAGTTGGTGTTTACCTCATGCACAAGCATCACAGTTGGAACAGTTATTCTGGGCCTCCTATGAAGCACCTCACAGAAGCCTTTCATCGAGGGAATTGGTCACAAAGGCATTACTTGGAATGTTGAATTTAGACAAGTAAAGATACACAACTCCAGCTACATTAATTGCTTATCTGAAGTTGGCACACCTTCATTCACCCTGTGGTGCCATCTCTACAGTGGGAGGTTGATGGGGACAAACACTCCTGTCAACTTCTCATCCTCCTGGTGAATCAAGGAGTACTAGTGACGATGGGGACAGTCTCAGCATTTGATTTAGTGGGTCTTTACTAGGCCTGCTAAATCAAACTCTGAAAGACCAACCCCTACAGTGTTGATCTTCCAGGTAGTGAAGACATGGCCTTAAAAATCGAGCTGGTTAACTTTGCCTGAAGACATTTAGACTAAAACTGCCATGGATGGGACCAGACCCTGATTTGCCGGTGTTAGGCACCAAGTTCTAATCTAGCACTTTGAACACAGGTCAAACACAGCTGGGCCCCACATCAGAAAACTAACATCCCTGTACCATTTAGGAATCTAGGTCACCCTGGGTTGGAAGAATTCTGCTGTGCAGCTTGTCCAGGCACTGTGCAACTCGGCTCCTCAACTAGGCTGTTCAAAATCACTGATAAGGGGCCAGCCTCCCGAGGAATGGAAGTATTTATTACTACACCTGAGAGTCAGTTCAAATTCTTTGCTCAGGCAATCTGAAATCAGGTCAGCCTCAGCTGTGTTAAGAGTTCAGCTCAAGTACTGTGGTGTTCAGCCTAGTGTTGGACCCTAAACAGAATAGGCTACCTCAAAGATTTGAGCAGAAGGAGCCTATGAGATTTAAGGCCCATCAGCACAAAGTGTTGCGCATCTAATACACTCTCTAAGCTTCTGCATAGACTCACTCAAACCATAGTTTTTGAAGTATTCAACTGTTACCAACAAATAATCGAGAGACCAGTACACAGCACAGGAGGCAGGTGGGGTGGGAAAGAAGAGGGCCCTGCAAGGGGTAATGTGCTGCCTATACATTGGAGGACACCCAGGATTCTTCTGGTTTTTGAAAGCTAGCTGTAGCAGCTTAAGCCTGGACTATTTTGCTGTGCTGTGGTGCCTGCTCTCCCCCCCCCCCCCCCC